ATAAATTATTTATATATTATATATATTAAGGATACTGGCTGCAACTTTTGATGATGGTTGCTACTACCTTTGCATCATATAAAATGATTACAACTGCTGGTTGCAACCACCTTTACAACCATTTTGTTTCCTTTTTTGGGTTGCAACATGGAACACTAATATAATATATATTGTATAATATATTGTTAGTACATCACTTCAACTTGTTAATGCTATAAGAGATGAAAATATTGATTTGAAAGGTAAAAAAATAAATAATACTGCTATTATGTATGATTATTAAAATTTATTTTTATTTTTTTGTATATCAAAAAAATTATTTGTGTGCATATTTGTCATCCAAATTTCAAAAATGAAAAAAAAAATTCCAAAGTAGTTATATAATATCATTACTCAAGATATTTAATATCACTATTATAGTAGTCAGATAAATAAAAAATAATTTAATACATAATAAGTGACAGGATTTAACTTATTCAGGTAAGTCATCTGGTATAGCTAAATCAATTTGTTTAGAATCTACAAAATATTTATCATGAGTGGATATTAATAAAATATTGTTAATTTTAATAAAAATGAAAATAGTCAATGATTGAATGTTAATAATTACCATTATTATTACTAATAATTGTTACTTTATTGGAATTCACAGGTTCGGGAAGGTTTGTAAAATTTAATAATCTGCTAGTATAAACTGCATTTGGATGAATTGCTGTAGTAATTGTTGAAGGATCAAATTTTATTTCATTCATTTTATAAAACTCCTTTCTAATTGATTTTAATTCATCATGCTTTTCTTTTGAGTATCCATAAAATCCAGCACTATTATTTATTTTAATATCATTAAGTGAATCTCTCCAAAACTTAATAATCAAAAAAATTTCTTCAGCAGTTGGACGTTTATCTGGATTAGCATCCATGCATTTGAATGCTAGTTCAATATATAATTTTGGTGTATTGTTTGAAAATCCAGGTCTTGCACCTTTACATATATTCATTGCAAGATATTCATCATGTGCCAAATTATTAAATGGTTGTTGGCCAGTTGATACTACAGACATCAGAACTCCAAAACTGTATACATCTGATGTTTTTGTATGTGGTTTCTTTTTTAGAACTTCTGGTGCAATATATGGTAATACTCCACATATATCATTTTTGTCTGATGATGATGTTTGACTAGCTGAGCATGATAATCCTAAGTCTGCAATAAATGGGTCATAACTACTTTGAAGAATATTACCACTATGAAGATTATGATGAATAATTTCTTTTTCATGAATAGCCTTTAAACCTTTAATAATATATAAAAGAATTTCAATTTTTATTTCCCATTTCAAATTTTTAAAATCTTTAGTTAAATAATTTTGAAGATTTCCATCTTCCATATATCTCATTACAAATATATATTCTTTTGTAATTGGATCTTGCGTTAATCCATAAATATGAATTATAACATATTTATTATGAAACTTTATATAATTTTTGAACTAAATAACAAAAAAAATATTTAATTACAACAATAATAATTAATAATATCTAAAAAATCTGAAATAATTAGAAAAATAAAATAATTTACCTCATTAAGAAATTCATCAGAAATATTCTGTGAATTATGTAGTTTTTTTAATGCCACAGTCCTATCATGACTATATCTTTCATAATTTATATATTTACTACCATTTAACCAAGTAGCTTTGGATATAGTTGCAAACCCACCTTCACCTATCTTTTCAATATTTGTTAAATCATTATAAGGAATCCATTGAAGATAATAATCATTATCATATTGAATTGTTTCAAGCTGTGTACTTTTAATCAACTCATCTAATGTTTCATTGCCACTAGTCCATCCTTCAGTTAATAGCTTCGGATCACATGATTGACACCATGAATAATAAGTATTATATCTATTGCAGGTTGGACACTTCACATATTTTTCTCTTCTTCCCTTTGAATATTGATCTTCATAATCTTGGATACTTCCATCTTCCATGTAACCCATTACAAAGATATATTCTTTTGTAGCTGGATCTTGTGTTAGTCCATAAATTTTATTTATAAATGATTTACCATAAAATGCAACATAATTTCTAAACTATATAAAAAAAATATATTAAATTCAGAATAAGATTAAAAATCTGAAAATAAACAGAAAAACAAAATAACTCACCTCATTAAGAAATTCATCAAAAATATTCTGTGAATTATGTAGTTTTTTTAGTGCTGCAGTCCTATCTTCAATAGTTCTTTTATTATAATTTATACTTTTATAACCATTTAACCAAGTAGCTTTGGATATAGTTGCAAGCCCACCTTCACCTATCTTTTCAATATTTGTTAAATCATTATAAGGAATCCATTGAAGATAATTATCATTATCATACTCAGTTGCTTTAAGTTGTGTACTTTTAATCAACTCATCTAATGTTTCATTACCACTAGTCCATCCTTCAGTTAATAGCTTTGGATCACATGATTGACACCATGAATAATAAGTATTATATCTTTTGCATATTGGACATTCCCCACACACTTCATATCTTTTATTAGAATATTTATCATTTTGAAAACTTCCATCTTCCATGTGATGCATTACAGAGATATACTCTTTTGTAATTGGATCTTGTGTAAATCCATAAATATAAACTTTATCATGAAACTTTGTATAATTTTTGAACTAAAATAACAAAAATATTTAATTACAACAATAATAATCAATGATATTTTTGTATTAATGTAATAATTTACCTCATTAAGAAATTCATCAGAAATATTCTGTGAATTATGTAGTTTTTTTAATGTCACAGGCATATCCTTGCTAGTTTTTTTATTATCATAATTTATACTTTTATAACCATTTAACCAAGTAGCTTTGGATATAGTTGCAAACCCACCTTCACTTATCTTTTCAATATTTGTTAAATCATTATAAGGAATCCATTGAAGATGATTACTATAATGATACTTAGTTGCTTTAAGTTGTGTACTTTTAATCAACTCATCTAATGTTTCATTGCCACTAGTCCATCCTTTAGTTAATAGCTTTGGATCACATGATTTACACCATGAATAAAAAGTATTGTATCTATTGCATGTTGGACATTCTCCATATTCTTCATCCCTTTCATCAGAATATTCATCATTTTCGTCAATAGAAGTATCGTCATGATGTTTATTTTCATCCAAAATGTTTTCCATTGTGGTTTTTGTATATTTGTAAAAATAAATTTTTTTTTAAAAGAACTTTTTTTTTTTTCAGCCACAAATATGTATCACAAAAAATATATTATATTAGATTTATCTAAAAAAAAAATCTAAAATTTTACCTGAACTATATACAACAATTCAGCATTGACACCCTAAAGCAGTGTCTGAAATTGAGTGCGGGGGTTTGTGTTACATATTGAATTTAGCCAATCAAATTTGTCCTTCTGGTAGAAAATTTAACGTTGATTGGCTAAATTCAATATGTAACACAAACCCCCGCACTCAATTTCAGACACTGCCCTAAAGTCATAAAACTGTAATAAATATTACAAGCATGCGGTCAGAGTTATTGGAGTCACCAAATATGACAAATCACTAGACACAACTATATGCTTGATATTCGAATAAGGGTTTATTCAAATTATTTGTTTTACTCGTTATGAATTTGAGTATTTGAATTACATTGAAAGTTTATTTGAATAATGAATAATTCGATAATTTGATAATTCAAAAAAGACAAATAAACGAATAATTCAAATAATTCAAATAAACAAATAAACAAATAAAACAAATAATTCAATCAATAATTTAAATAAAACAAATAAATGAATAATAATAATTCGAATAATTTGAATAGTTTGAACAAAATGAATAAACAAATAGTTCGAATAAACAATTTGAATAATAAAATGAATAAACAAAATAAAATGAATAATTCAAGCAAAACAAATATTTGAATAAACGAATGATGTCAATTCAAATAATAAACGAATGATCATAACAATTCAAATAATAAACGAATGATGATAATTCAAATAATAAATGAATGATGTCAATTCAAATGATAAATGAATGATGTCAATTCAAATGATAAACAAATGATGATAATTCGAATAATAACAATAAACAAATGATGTCAATTCAAATGATAAACAAATGATGATAATTCAAATGATAAACAAATGATACAATTTGAATGATAAATGAATGATACAATTTGAATGATAAATGAATGATACAATTCGAATGATAAACAAATGATGTCAATTCAAATGATAAACAAATGATGATAATTTGAATGATTAAATGAATGATGTCAATTCGATTAATAACAATAAATGAATGATACAATTCAAAAGATAAACAAATGATACAATTCAAATGATAAACAAATGATACAATTCAAATGATAAATAAATGATGTCAATTCAAATGATAAACAAATGATTTGAATAATTTGAACAAAACTTTTATTACGAATATAAACTCAACTCTATTGCAGAGTCACTAAATCTGGCACAATAATGTTCAAACTAAATTAAAATATACAACTACACTACTTGAAGGCGTCCCTACAAGCAATATAGTAAAACTAATAAAAGATTCCTAACTAATAATTAAATGTTGACCAAATCATTAATCATCAGAATGTGTTATGAATCAATCAATCATGCCAGATTTATTAATTAATGAAAGTGTTATTTTTATTACAAAAGTGTTATTATTGAAAGATCAATTATTTTTTAATTTTTTTTCACTAAAGGAGATTTCAAACATATTTATACTTCTTACAGTATTACAAATAACATGATTTTGTCCAATAAAATAAAATATAGTTGGCTTGGTCTAAAGACCTCCTAAATTTTGGGCAAATTTTAAAAGTATAGAAGTCACTTTCTGTCCTACCTTTTAAAAAAATGGCTTTATTAGTTGATAGAATATGTCTTTAGCTTTAATGTAATAGAGAGATTTTCCAAAAATTATTAGAGGAGATTTGGATTCTTTAAGAGATGATGTTCGTGATTTTTTTGATAAAAATGTAAGCAAGCAAGCTACAGAAACAAAAATCATAAAATCAATATTGTTATTATTGACGAATATTTATTAATGTAGGGTGTATTGATTGAAGAAGATAAGGACCAAAATTCTACAGATTTTAAGAAATGTATTGATAGAATTGAATTAATTGAAAATGAGAATAATGAAAAGGTAAAAAAAATTAGACAAATACACGTAGAAAATAAAAATGATAAGGTTCATGCAGATGTATATTTTAGTATGAAATAGTGGCTTTGGGCGCAACAGGCGGCAGATTTGATCAAGCAATGTCACATATTAATTATTTACATCAATTGAAAAATCAACATCAAATATATTTATTATCAAATGAAAATATAATTTTTTTACTAGATAAGGTAAAAAAATATTTATATCTAAATACTATACAATGAATATTATTATTCTTATTAACAATTTTTTTTTTATTATTTAGGGAAAGCATCAATTATTTTGTGATAAAAATATTGAAGGTCCAACTTGTGGATTACTTCCAATTGGTGTAGAGGCTGCTGTCATTACCACAACAGGCCTAAAATGGAATCTTGGTAGGCAATAAAATAAATATTATAAATAATAAATATAACATTATAATAAATATAACTCTTAAATCTTATAAAGAAAATACTTCCACTTCTTTTGGAAAATTGGTAAGTACTTCAAATCACTTGGAAGACGATATTATAACGATCGAAACTGATTCACCAATCGTATGGACTGTAGAACTTAATCATCAAAGTTTTTAATATAATAACAAATGTCATTCTTCTCTATAAATAAAACTACCGTATTCTCTCTAATATAAGCACCACCATTTTTAAATGTGTTGGATAGGTGGTAATGGGTGCTTATACTTGAGAGTTTTCGTATCACATATTGATTTCCTTATCATTATTTTTATCCCAAGATCAGCTGGGCGTCATTTTACTATTGATCATTCAATGATTTCTCATTGGCAAAAACAAAGGAAGGAAAAATTAGGAGAGGAAGTTCTGAGAAGAATAAAAAAATTATTAAAAATAACAACAACAATAATAATAATAATAATAATAATAATGCTTAAAATATACGATTTCATTTTATTTTAGACTGTGCACAATTTTACATAAAAAAAAATTTTTTTTAATGGCTAAAAAAAGAAAGCATAATTTTATAAAAAAACGTAAATCTATAAAAAAATCAAATCCAAAAACAAATTATAAAGAAAAAGAAAAAGAAAAGGCAATTCTTGAACCAATGTAATAAATTAATATTTGTAGAATTATCCAATGAATTAATAATTTATACAGCTTCTATTATATAATCAGATATGATGAACCACCAACATTTGATGATAAACCAGACATTCCACGTCGTTTTTCTCGACTTTTAAAAATAAAGGAGCACAGAATTAAAAAAGTCAGAGATAATGTTAAAACAAAGGTAAGGTATTTAATTATAAATATATCGTATGAATGTGTTCGTTAATGTTTAAAAATGAGTTTGAGAGTGATTGTCGATGAAATTTTATTTTATTATTTTATTATTTTAGATTAATTCCTCTACCACCACCACTGTTAAAAATAATAAAGGTACTGGCATTGAAAGATTACCAGGGGAACCTTTTTCAAAATTTAGTCGTCGTTTAGAAGATCACATGAGGCCAGAAATTCTTAAAGCGTTCCAAGAAGGTTCATCTAAGCAAATCAAAGCTAAAAGGTATTAACTACTATTACTATTACGATTACTAGTTATTATCATTCTTAACACATGTGTGTTTTTATAAGTAATAATAAATTTATGACTTCCTTTATAGGTATAGAGAACGATTAAAAGAAAAGAAAAAAGAAAAGTTAAATATTAACAATCAAAATGCAATAAAAGATTTTAAAGATTTAAAAGATGATATTAAATTTGGAGAAATAGTTGATAAACCTCCTGTTATAACTGTTATACCTAAAAACAAGGTATCCAATTGCCTTTATTCTATTGAATAATTGACTGCTATCATAATAATAATATTAAGAAAACTTTTACTTTATGCAAATATAGTTACGAATAATATCATCACCCAAAGTTGAAAAAGATAATTATGGTGATGATGACGATGATGATGATGATGATGATGATGACGGTTATTATTATCAAAAAAAGAAGAAACATAGTAATAAGTCTCAATTAAGCTTAGCGGATAAACGTATTGTTGAAAAAGAACGTAAAAGAATTATTGAACTTTATCGATCAAAGAAATCAAATAAATTGAATAAATTAGATTAAACTAATAATTCTATCTCTTATTGGTTTCTATTTCAATATTTTATTAATATTTGCATTTGTTGTTATTATTAAAATCATTATCATTAATCACGGTCAGCCAAAGGATTTGCATGAATCGTGATTGATTTAATTCGAATTTCTTGAGTCGGTCGATGTTTTTCATCAACTGGAACATTTTCTATAGCATCTAATGTTGTATCCACACCGTCAATCACTCTTAATTAGTTATTATTTCACACCAAGACAAATTTATTTATCAATAAACACCTATATAATATTTTATTACATAATAGACGTTTTATATGTTTAATACTTACTTGCCAAACACTGTATATTTTGTATCAAGATGTGGTAATTTAGTATATGTTATAAAGAATTGTGATCCATTTGTATCAGGTCCACTGTTAGCCATAGAAACAATACCTCTAGTGTTATGCTGATTAATTTATTTCGATTTAAATAATTATATACACGTAATATATTGCGTATATATTCACTCGCACACTCACATATAATATTTACACGCTCAAACACACCTTTAGTGAAGATTTAATTTCATCAGGAAATTTTTTCTCCCATATTGATGTTCCCCCTTTTCCTGTTCCTGTAGGATCTCCTGTCTTTAAATATATTTGTTATTTATTAAATTTATTAAGTAATTAATTTAATTTAAAAAATAATATATATATATATATATATATTACCTGTACCATAAACCCTTTAATATTTCTAAATAATAAAAAAATTAATTAATCTTTCTTACTCTCTATTTAAATAATCAAAGATTAAGCTAATTTAAGTTACCTGTGAAATAAATTATTATCGTAATATCCGCTTGCACATAATTTCATAAAATTCTAATAATAAAAAATATAAATATATACAAAAGTTTTTTAAAAAACTACATGCTTATAAAATACAAACTTCGGCAGCTCTTGGTACAGCTTCACAAAATACTTCAATCTTGAGATCACCAAGATCTGTATGAAGAGTTACTGACTAAAAACGATTTTTTTTGGCAAGCATTTTTAATAAGTAAATAAATAAATAAAACGAATTAATCAATTAATTAATCAATCAATAAGTTGTATTTAGAAAGAAAAAAAAAATCAAAAAAGATATTTCAACCATTTAAATTTTAATTTTAAAAAAAAGTCAATTGTTTCTAATTTAAGCTTTTTGAATTAAATTGTATTGTAAAAAAAAAAAATTTATTATTTTGGGGGTTTAATTTATTCCTCGCATATTTATACTTTTTTTTTCACATAATGACTACAATATATGTGATATGCAGTGTAACTCATGTGACCCTAAATATTAATACCTTCTCTTTTTTTCCAAAAAAAATTTTTTCTTTTTAAAAAAAAAATAACAAATAAAAATTTTTATATTAATTTCCTGTAGTCATGGAAAGTAAAAATAATAATAATAATTTATCAGATTTTTATTTTATAAAACCTTCAGGTATTAAATAATATATATATTTATTTGTATAGGGATATGTATTATTATTGTTGTTGTAAGCTATTTTATAATAAATGAGGATCCGTGTTTTCTTTTAGGACAAGATTTTAAAACTTCAATAGATTCAAATAACATATATTCGCAACAACCTCAACAACTAACGTTACGAAAAAATATACCAAATCGTGGTATATCAAATAATTTTGACCTCACAAAGACTTATGAAAAGTTCGTACAACCATACAAAGAAAAAGATCCAGACAGTACTTTGTTTCCTTACATCAAAAATTTACCTGGTATGAAAACAAATATACATGTTAATTTTATTATGTTAGGTTTAGAATATTTGAGCAATATATGTATTTAAACAATATGTATTTATGTAATATATAAATACATAGCAAAAATAATTTACTCGTCGTTCATGTTTTCAATTTAACATTTATTTCTCATATTGTCATATTCGATATATTATTAATAGGCAAATTATTGGTAAATAATGATAAAACACTTAGAAAAGTTATTAATAAACCAACAAGTAAATGGGAAGATAAATTTCAAATAGACGGTGCAACAATCGAAAAAAAGCTTAAATCATTATATATACGAGGCCCTATACAAGGGGTATTTTTATTAAATTAATAGTAAATGAATAAACCATTATATATATATATATATTAATATATATATGTAATACAGTTTAATCCATCGGAAATTGGTTTAGAGGATAATAATATTAACAAAACATCAACGACTTCATCAACTACTATTAATCATCATTTATACATTCAAGGAAACTGTTTTGATCAACGTATGAATTAATTATAAAAACTATTTTAAAATTATTATTATTATTAGCGTTGGAGAAGGAAAAAAGTATCTCAATTTTTTTTAAAAAAATTTTCCCAGAACAAATTGCGTCAAATAATGAAGGAGAAGATAAACTTTATGAAAAGAAAAAGGTTTATATACTGATAATATCAATAATCAAATAAATTTAATATCATTAATGTATATATATTATTTTTACTATATATTAGAAAAAGAAGCATAAGCATGATGAGCATGATGGTAAACGAAGACACAGACATGATAAAGATGGAGGAGAATACAAGAAAAAGAAACGGAAGAAAGTTTGTATTTTTTTATTTTGATGTTTTTTGATGTCTTATTTTAACATGCAAAAAAATTTTTGAATGAGTTTTTATCGGATTCTTTTGCACGCTCTTTTTTCATATATTATTATTATATATTTGATAATTAACCTAAAATACCACACACACACACACACTAAAATTATAATTCAGGATAGAGAATTAACTGCTATATGAGCTCCTTATCAAAATAAATAGCGTATATACGAGGTTCTTATATTAAACTTCATACATGTATATTTACACTCACATATACATATTATTATTGAAACTTATATATTTGTGTATATATATATACATACAGAGTTATGATAATTGGTAAAGATGGTGATGATAATGATAATGGTGAAGGAAAAGATGATAATATTTCGTAAAAACAACCGAAAAAAAAACAAATTTAAACAAAAAAAAAATTTTTTTTCCTCTTTTATTTCTTAACAGAAATATATCTTATCTATAACATATATTTTTTATCAATTATAAATCCAAAAAAAAAAAAAATTTTTTTATCAACATATTTATATATATTAAATATAAATATAAATATAAATATATATATGGACACTAATGATTATAACAGAAAGTGAAAAAATCCAAAAAAAAAGATAAAAAGAATAAATGTATTGGGTTGGGCAAAAATATTTTAATTTATATATCTTTTTTGCAATCAATCCTAATTATTATTAATTTTTTTTTTCTAATTGTAAATATGTTTTATTATTATTATTTTATCATTTACTAATAATATTTTTAGATTTATTTTTTTATTACAGGTTGACTTTTTTAGAACAATGGTATGATTTTTTTTTTAATAAAAAAAAAATTATTATAAAATGTTAGCAATATATACATCTGCAACTAAATCAAAACTAATTTGTAATAAAAATAAAAAATTAATATTAAATATAATTAATTTTATTGCAAAACACATTTATTTTTTCCATCTAAAAATTCTATTTGTTGTAGATTTTGTGCCACGTAATAATCATGCTCTGTTATTTTATCCTCATCTACTTCATCAGGATTCAGAATCTGAAGTTCATAAAATAATAAATACCCATTTTTACTAAATTCATTAAATAAAAATGTAATATCTTGGAGAGAATTGAATTTGGTAACTCGTTGGTCAACGTTCAAATCATCTAATCTATACCATCCTTCCTCCTAATGGTAACAACAACAATAATAAAGAATAATAATATTTATTATTGTTGTAATTTATTACTATTTTTCTACTCTTTAATCAATTAATCAATTAGTCAACTCACAAATATGTACATACATCATCTAGAGTAAATCCTTTGTAGTGACCAGAATAAAGTGATTCACCATAATGACAAACCACAGATCTCAACTTTAATTTATAATGTATATTATCTATTCCATACTTATAAGGTTGTTCGTCAGCTGCATCGGAATTGACAAACAAATTGAAATTGGCGAAAGGTGGAATGTAAACATTTTTCTTTATTCGAAAAGGCCTTAGACTTTCATTAAATCCATATCGTTTTAATACGAGTGGTAATAATAGATTTGTGGTAGGAAAATATGATTGATCAACCTTTATTCTTTCATCTAAAAATAATTATATAATTATTTTATTATAATTTGTTTTATTTCCCACTCCTCCCTCCCTTAAGAAAAGGATTACCTTGTTCATTACTAGCAGAATAAAAAGGCAAAAGTTTTAAAACTTGCCAAGCGGTAACAGGAATTTCTGATTGTTCGATACTTAATTGTATTTTTCCTTTTGTTTTTTCATCCCCTGCTAAATCGACATTTTCCTCAGGTAAAAGCTTTCGTTTAATACCAGATATAGAATTATCATAAAAGTGTGCTTTCAATGCTTCCTCGAGTGTTACCGGTGTCTCATCTTTTGGTTCACCTGGTATAGCAATCTGAATCATACGTTCTGTTACAACTCTTTCGTCCATTGGATCTCTTTTTGCCCCATGAATCAAGTGCATCTCCAATGGAAGATACGGTAGTTCGTAAAGATATGATAGAAATAAAAACAATTCGCTGGAATCTTCTTGTGTTGGTCTTCCATAATCATCTAATCCAACCCATCCACAATTAATAAGCTTTTCTCTTAATTGCTAATAATTATAATTATAATAATTATAATGATAATAAATAATTGAAAATAATATCACTCATTACCAATCATTCTGATATTACTACTAACCTTGACCATGTATTCATTGATAAGTTCACCAGTACGAAGCCTATTTACAAACAATCTCAAATGAGTTTGTAATATTTTAGCATTGGTTTCTCCTGCTTGCATATAAAGCAATCCATCAAATGATTGTATTCTGGCAAACATGGCAAATAAAAGACTATCTAATCAGAATATATATACACACACACACACACACATTTATTCGTTACTACTCGCAATTTAATAAAATTGAAAAAAAAATATTTATTACCTATATAACAACTAGTCGAACGATCATTTTCCGAGCCAGTCATTATAACACCCTTTTTAACATCAGCTATTAAACCTTCTTCTGCATCCGCCAAGCTTTTATAGTAATTTGCTACCTCGGAAACATCCCAGTTGTTAGCTTTCAATAATTTTTGAAGTTGTTCATTTTCCAACGGTGACCCGATCCCCTCCAAAAATGTTTTCAACTGATCGATTTTATTCTCTTGTTCGGAGGTTAGTTGATTAGCAACTTGTGATTTTCGTTTAGATGAAGAATTATTAAAAAAGCTTAAATGTAAACCATTTTTTATTTTTTGAACTGGTGAACGAGATCGAGATCTGGATTGGTTTTGTTCTTCTGGTGTTGTTACTGGTAATATTGATAATAGTGGTGAGGTTGTTATTCCTGTTGCTGTTGCTGTTGCTGTTGATGTTGCTGTTGATGATGGTGGCGGTGATAATGGTGTATTTTGGATATTGATTTTATCTGATGACTCCTCCATTGATTGATTTCATTTACTAATAAATAATTTGCCTTATACCAAATATATTTTAATTGATTCTATTTAGTGCAAATAAAAAAGCAGTGTCACAATTTCTCAATTTGAACGTGTTTGTATTATTAGTATAGTAAATGGCCGAAAAAATTTTTTTAGATGCTAATTCTTATTTTCTCTATAGTTTTGATATATCTATCATTCTTGCCAAAAAAATGGATCTGCTTGACATCGTAAAGTTGGATTTTTCTTCACAAATATTATTTAAATATCGCCGTGGTTTAGATATACGATTCACTCTTTCTATAATAATAACGAACTTTCCGTCCCTATGTGTAATTTTTCTACCTTTGTTAGTTATAGAGGGAGAAATTAACATTAATTATAAAAAAATGAATCGGAAACAAAAGTGAAGTTCGTTAAAAGAGATTTCACCTAATGTTTGTTATAGAGAATGCGAATTTACACAAAAAAAAAAAATACACATACGAGAATTTACTCACAAGTTGACAATGAACGCTGTCACGTATACAGTTATCTCTGATTTTAAATATGCAAAACAAAGTTGTTAGAGGGCTCTTTACCTGACGACAACTAGTGTACCAGACCCTGTTTGCTTAATATTAATAAAAAAAATTGTATGTCGGATACCTTCTTTAAATTGCGCATAGAATAAATTGAATATATTTTGACCCCTTCATTGTACAATATCAAGTTATGTTTGAGATTTTTGAAAAAAAAACAATTGATTTTTTAATCATGACCAGAGAGAAAGGATTATTTTCCATTCTACACTTTTTTTTATACAATAGCATAAATATCATATAAAAATCAGAATGTGGAGTATAATTATACATCATTATTAATGTTAAATGGCGCTCGATATAGTGAACTACTATTGCTCGATATAATGATTTCTAATATAAACACTCTATAATGAAGTTTTACTAAACAAAAATGCATTAGAATCGCGATGAATCAATCACTAAAGTTTGACGATGAATTTTTATCAATGTTAAAGTATAATGCAATTTTTATTCAAGTGTGAAAAAGGGGCTGCGTCATGATGAAAGTAATAGATAATTATATATTCTACAGGGAAAATTTTTTAACCTCACTCCCATTAATGTTATAACCAAAAGAGAGTACAGAAGAATTGTTTGTTACACGCTATTCAGTTCCCCGCAAAGCAAAGGAAATAATGTAACTGTTATACTCTCCACTCTATCCATTAAAACACAAAGTCGAGTTTTATTTTTTTATTTTATATAATGTTATTCCATAAATTAATATCATTTTTATCACCAGAAAGAATGGAATTTGTATCTAAAATTGATAATGATGAAGAAAGTAGAGGATATTATTTTTTTTATTAGTCCGACAAAACAAGGAGCAGAAAAATGGTATTGTGAAGAATGGTTTATTTATGAGTTTGAATTAAGAAATGCAAGAGATGAATCGGGTAAACCAAATAAAAATGTAACAAGTGTAAATCAACAAGATACTCTCTGATAGATTCTGTGAAGGTTGTATTAGTTTACAACTACGGATGCTTTTCACCACTTGGACATCTGGAAATAACGTAATTGATAACTTTATTCAACAATGCCAAATGAAATCATCTTTGCCAAACAATATTTTAGAATGGATACCTTTTGAGAAATTTGAAAAAGTAACAAAGTCGACAGAAGGTGGCTTTAGTTTGATTTATACTGCAGATGAACAGGAGGAAATATTATTGATTTATGATGAAAATAAAAAGGAATTTAATTATTTTGGAGTGCAAAAAGTAGTATTAAAAAGTTTAAATAATTCAAGTAATCTAGGGAAAAACATTCTTTGATGAAGTTGGTAATTGTCATTTAAAACAAAACTAAATGCTGTATTATATAGTACTAATTGATTTTATATGGGGCGTACTGTAACAAAACCAGACAAAGTGAACATTAATATTAATGTTACCAAGAATTTCAGGGTTCAAAATTTAGTAATGTGATTATTAAAATCTTCCATTTGTTATCCTCTTAATATTAGGTGAATTACCCCTAAAAATAATTAATATGAAGTTAATTTACATTAGGTCTACTATGGAACCCAAAATTACAGCACTATTAGAAGTATTTTGAAGAAAGAACAAGGTGAAAAAATTGCACCTTATGTTTTCAAAATAAATGATACTCAAACACTTGAAGCTTATCTAAGAAAAGAAAAGATTATCTATGAAATTTACCAAGAAGAAAGAGTTTTCAAAAGATTATTAGAGAATTCTAGTAAAGAATCAAGAAAAAAAAGAAAACTGGCAGAATAACTTGATAAACCAAATAATCACTTTATTTTCAACTTTGTTAATTTTTTAATTACCTTTTATTTTCAGATCATCTTTTAGTCTCTTTAACTTCAATTTGGGCAACTAATTGACCATTTTGCTGTTGTAATTGGGTTAATTGAAAATTTAAATCATTGATTTCTTTTATTAATTATTGGGGAGTTAACTCTTTTAGTTGCTTATTTTTCTCTTCTAAATGCTTAATTCTATTTAATAACTCTTGTTTTTATATGTTGTGATGAGCAGGGTTCCTGATTGCCTGAAGGTGAATAAAGATGTTGTGACTGAATACAGAAGATTAAATCTTTTACACCAAAACAGTCCAAAAAATATTTATTAATTAATATTATTAGAATTAATTGATGTATCACATCTCACTTTACATTTAATTTTGTTAATTATGACAAAAACATTTCATCAGGTATCATTTAATCATGACATCATCAATGATACATTTTTGACATTTAACTTTAGTAATTGTCAATTAGTCATCATTTATCATTCTATGGTTGGCTCGGTCTAAAGACCTCCTATTGCTGCGCCATATGGCCAAATTTCAAAATAGCAATTTGTAATTCGTTCAAAAATGTAATAAAATTTTTCAAAAAATAGGACTTCACGTGATTTTAGTTTTCTTACTGCCAAATTTAGATACGATAGTCAAGGCTAGTCTAAATTGGGTAATATTTTTCCTAAATTTAGAAATGATCATAGCGGACAAATTCCTCGCGAGCATAGTAAAGTACATGTTTTAAAAAAGAATAGAACTCCATGACAAATAATTTTTTGCGAAAATCTCTATTACATTAAAACTAAAGACAACCAATAGAGCTATTTTTTTAAAAGGTAGGACAGAAAGTGACTTCTATATTTTTAAAATTTGCCCAAAATTTAGGAGGTCTTTAGACCAAGCCAACTATAATAAGTTCTTTACAAATTTCCTCAGGCATCCAAGAGATGTTAGAACATGAATTGACAATGATCCTCCCTCTATCTGTCCCTCTATAGCAGTTAAATCTTTGGCATTTTCAATCCTTACAAGATCAATATCCATAGAATTATTGAAAATTTGTGGCATTATGAATTCACTAGGCTTAGAAGTTTCTTTTGACAGAGATGGTGTATAAGAGCCTTCACTTTGCAATAACCCCAAACAAGTCAATTCTTCTATAATTAATTTGTGAATAATTTTAATCGAATTTTTATCAATTGATAGTCCTTTATTTTCCTTACAAGAATTAGATTCTTTCCCACCCTTAGTCTTAGTAGAAGGCTAGTTTTCCATTACTTTTTTTTTTCGAACAAATCGGAGAGTATATTCATCATCATCAGTTGCAATTTCATGTATCAAATTAGAAGTATCTATAGGACCAGGAACAGGATTGTTAATATTTAGAGTATTAATTCCACCAGAAATACTAGCAATTTCCTTATCAAGTCTCCTTTGCTCAAGTCTTTCAGCAATTCTATTCACTATTCTATTAATATTGGATTTGTAATTTAAGTCCATTTCATCTAATGAAGCTTTATAATTATCAAGAAGTTTGTGTATTTTTTCTGCCTTAGTAATTTCAGGAGAATCAACTATTTTATTGCTTGAAGTTGCAGACTTATTAAGAATTTCATCAGTAGTATTTTTTGCAGATTCTCAGGCTATTTGCAAATCATCATTTTTTGATATGGTGCTGTTGGAATTTTTGCAAAATCCAGAAGGACTTGGTTTATATGATTCTGACAATTGATATGTAGGTTGTATTTGAGCTTGATGGTCAGTAGCTCCAGTT